ATAACATCGCAGAAACCCACAAAACAGTACCAAATTCAGAACCTTCCATGCTGCGCTGAGCAGATAAGAACGATGACTGTTCATACATCGTACAAGAACCTCCCAACATGCAGTTTTTAGTTTTTATATCAAAAAGATGGGTCGCGAAGACGCTCACAACAGGAGCAATTACCTCAAGTTTCAGCTTGGGCCTCTTTTATGTCCAGCGCTAACTTAGACCCGAGGGGCGGAGACGGCGTGGCGGCCAATGGCGCCGAATACTGCACGCATGGTCGGAGGAAAATCCCGGCTAGAATGTCGCCTTGAGGAACCAAGTATTCATCCCTCCGAGAACGGTTAATTGGAACCAGATTTTCTTGGGGGATAAAAACGCCGATTAGTACATCAGTTGTCTCCGCAAATTATTTACAGCACAAACCGTATTCAAATACTACAATTCAAGAGGAGAGGCGGTCACATGGCGCGATCTCATTTAGAGCGCACAGGCCGCAATTGCCCATCCTGCTGCGGCCGGACAACTCGTCCGTATCACTCAACTACTAGACTTCAGTAATTGATCGATCTGATAATTTGGGTCTCAAAAATCTCGCTGAGTCCCAAAGATCTAAAAAAAGCGGATAGCTTCGCTGGCCTGATGCCAAGGCAAGAGGAACGGAACAGAATGTGTTGCGCGGACGAGTTGTCCGGCCACAGCAGGACGTGGTAATTACGGCCTGTGCGCTCCAATGCCAATGGGATCGCGCCATATGACGCATACCCTTCAAAAGAAGTAGAATGCATGGCGCATCCCAAAAAGGATCGATCAAATCCAAACTACCTCTGAAATGCTTCCGAACACCACTGTGCTACGTTTCACTAATAATTAAAAACAGAAGATCGTGCGCATCAGGATAGGCCGCATTCGGGTAGTTCAAACTTTCGTGCTGACTAAATAACGAGAACACATAGGAAACCAAAAGTGGCGACTCTACAAATCCTCTACCCTAGTTCAGAACTTGGCATGAAAGAGGTAAGAAGAAAGATCGACATCTAATTTCCAACCCCTTAAAGGACTCCCTCATTTCTCCCTTAAAATGGGGGAGGGGGAATCGGGCGAGTTGGCTGACCCTGCTATTTCCATGCCTCCACTAACCCGCGCGTACTGGTAACTCCTACTTCGTAATCCACGCTGTGTAGCACCAGGTATGTGCAAGGTATCTCGTCCATAAGTTCACATCAGTCGCCATCAGATCACTTTGTAAGGCCCTAGCGCCATTGTCGCGCACTTTCGAGCCGCGACAACGGCACATCTGTGATACTCGTGGGCTACTCCATCCCATCCACTGAGTAGATTCTTCGACACGACGTTGTCTGTGGTTCAAGCTCTAAGCACTCACATGGTGATACTAAATTCGAGTACGTAAGGAGATTGCTGAATCTTCTCATTGCGAACTATATAAACGGCTGCCGCAACCCATGGTCGCTAAGCCAAGCTCCAAAACTGCTGGCCCTTCCTAAGCGCCTGAGAGATAGTTGGAATTTCGCTTGCAAAGAAGGCTACCACATCCACTTAATCAGAAACCAAAAAAATTATACGGCGGCGCACTACTCAGGGCAACGAGTTTATGCGTATTAAGAGCACATAAAGCTGCACGAAAAGTGGTCGCCAAGTTACTTTGACGAATCGAATGTGCCTACGAAAAAACAAAATCGGCACTTGGCAGCCAAGCACCGCCAAAATACTAAAGCAAGAGCGGTCTGCTCTAGCGTGAAGACTTTACGGGAGCCGAGTTGCACATGCAACGTGAAAAAAAAGCTACCGAATTCTGAGGACCTCGAATGTGATCTAATAAATGAATCTGGGGATGATGGACAGCCAAAAAGGGAACTTGGATTGGCAGCCACCAAACAAATCCATAAGTACCGAGCGCCATTTTTTCGGTATCGGAAACGGCTGTGCCACGAAATCCAGTTTCTGATGAAAGCAGGATCTTCCAGTTCATAGTCAGATTAGGGATTGATTCTTGAAAGAAAACACAATCAAAAGTTAGTTAAGCACTGCGCAGATGGTGATACATGACACTCTTATGGTTGGAGTTATTGTGGTTATCTATTCATGTGGTATATGTGGAACAGCTGCATCTATAAAGAATTCGAGTCTCTTGACAGCAAGCGTACTTACTCAACACTTTGTTGGAACTATGGTTATACAAGTTCGAAGTTCTCAGCTCTAAGACAGGTAAGTGACACTAGTTCTATTTAAGCACTCCATAAGTAATGCGCATCTTCTGTGCTGCGTTCAAAATTGCAGGAACCAAGCGGAATAACCCGTCATTTGGCCCTTTTGCAGCAAAGTTCAAAAGGAGCTTCTTCACATTCCTCATGCAAATTTTGAATTGTGAACGTCATATATCTTTCGACTTCACAGCACCAAAAAGAAGACGAAGGAAATATTCAGCATACTATGCTTTACGAGTTCCAAAAACGAAGCAGCTCCGTCGGAACGGCCGAAAACAACAACGATTAATATGGAAAAGGATTGATAAGGTACAAGTGCGAGCCTATGCAGACGATGGTTGAAGCAATCCCATCTTAAGGATAAACTTGGAGGTGAGCCCGTCCTGAAAGACCTGCTGAGCTCGATGAAACAGCTGATGGGAAGAATCCAAATGTATAAATTATTAAGACGGCGAGAGACTGGGACTTCGAAACTTAGCCATTCACTGATACCTATTATCCATTTCATCCACAAGGTCTGAGCAGAAATGCTCTTTCACCACGACAATGCTTTACCGCATCTAATAATAATAAGCAAATGTAACGCGACTTTAACAACCATGCCCTATCCCTCATAGTGAAAAACAAAGCGATCGTCCAACTACGCACATAACTTACTACCAGTTGGCGCCGCACGCATTGCGCGCACAGCACAGTTCTGCGGCGATATAGGATGGTGCGGCGTGAAATTTTCGAATTTGGCCCAATACACTTCGAATATTGACTTTCAAGCTGAATTCTATCCGATGCCATCATCCACCGATGGCTTTTGAGCTTCCCTCCTTCCTCCACCAATTGTCCGTAATCGTCAACCAATTGTCCGTTTTTCCCGGCCTCGGACTGCCTCCGGACCGATTTATGAACCTCGTGGTAAACTCCGCCTATTTCTTTGCATGTCCCACCTATCTTTTTCTTCCTCGCCAACCTCTTCCCACTTTTTACCCGATCTCTGAACTATCTCTGAGCCGATTTATAATTTTGGCGGCGAATCCTGCTTTTTTGGTGTATCCTCCGCACACCATTAGAAATTCACTTCCTTTCCTTCGCTCACTTCTCTCCCGGTCTCCAGCACTTCCTGCAGCTGAGTCACAAAGTTTTGTGGAGAACTCCGCCTACCTTGGAAATGCTCCGCCCACCAACAGTAGTTGGGCTCCACTCCTTCACCCACCTCTATCCACCTTTTTCCCGGTCTCCGGGACTTCTTGGAACCGAGTTATGAATTTTCGTCGCAAACTCCGCCCACTTTGGTCATGCCCCGCCCACATTGACAGTTGGCCTCCACTCCTCCACCCACCTCTATCCACCTTTTTCCGGCTCTCTAAGACTTCTCCGGCCCGAATTATGAGGACTTGTAGAAAACGCTGTACACTTCAGAGCGCGCTCCGCCCATTGTGGGTGGGCGGACCTCCGCCAACGTCGTCGATGTTATTACGTAACGCTTTACGCCACCGGGGGTGGGTCTCCTAATTCGATGTGACTTACCAATGCACACCTTTACCCACTTTTTGGCCCAGTTTCGGGTCGTTTTGTCACTGAAATCGAAATCTTGGTCTTCGGTACAGTTCATTTCGACGCACGCCACGCCCTCTGTGGGCGGGGCTCCGCTTAGCTGATGTGTGTTTTGTATTACGTGAGACCTTGCCCACCCATCCACACTTGACCCGGTCCCTCCAGGCGGATCCCGAGGAGCTAGGGAATTTCGTGACAGACATACAGAACGACAGACAGACGATGGCCCTTCCCTTAACCCTTAGACTACGACTTTTTGAAATTGAGCTATCAACAAGTTTTGTGTAGTAGCTATCGCTCCTTCCAACAACTAATCATCTATAGAAATTTGGCTGACGTACGCTGGATTTGACTGGGATTTTGATCCAGGACTATGCGCGCGGTAGTGGCCCCTCTTGTCACCACACCATCACCGCTCGAGTGAGTATTTCTGAAATATAAATTGGCAACCTAATTACAATAACAAATACACGATTTTTACATCTTGTTCGTGGGAGAGCGAGCGTACAATTGCCACCACACTTAGGAGGTACTGCACGCCGTACTCTGTAGAAACGCTGCGGGTCTAATGGGGTCTTCCCCTCTCACGAGTTCCGACGTATTCTACTGCTTCAAAATCTGTGTCGTCATAGTAGTCTTCTAATTTCACTTCCGCACCATCCGAACTGTCAGAATCTTGGAGGTTGGGATCTCCAACACTGTCGTGGAACGCCGCCTTGTCCTCAACTGGTTCGGCTAATAAAATGCCCCATCTTTCATCGTTCATTTGTGCATGCTGTATCTGATACGATAACGTAGGGAGCATCGAAATCGTCATCAAAAGCATTAAGAAAGTGTGAGCTTCGAAATACCTTTTTGGGAGCTGCATACACTGACCAGTGACGGGCGGTTCAACTTGCCTTACTAAGTTAATCAGATTGATTCGCTTTGGCTTGTGACGATTTGTTCAAAGAGTAAGAATTAGAAAGTTTCTATATGTGCACAATTCCGCCATCAAGCGGGCCTCCGTCTCAATAAGTCCAGAAACTGTGGTAGTGTCTTTGACTACGGAAGTGGTACACATGTGTACCACCAGTGGTCAAAGGGTTAAAGCATTAGCGAATGGATGGGTATATCTTGTATAGTATTGTTTATCTCATAAAACTAGTTTGGGAAACTGACGTGAAAATGCACATCACTTATGGAATGACCTATTGTGCTAATGCAAAGTTTTCATCCATTGTGCAACACGATGTTCACAGCACACTAGCTCTTCGTATTCGGAAACAGATAACATACCCAAGGTAGCTCAGTTTCTTCACTGAAGCTTCGGGACAGCAGAACGAACAGTTTGGAGCGTATGTGGCGTACAGCACCAGTCGTAAACCGTCGTTTAGCTTCAGCAAACCATCCTCACTCCGCATGAAAATGCACTTCGGATCACCAACTTTGCCAATCTCATTGATAAGATATCTGAAAATTTTTGATTTTACTTGTACTCTTGACCTCAACTCACATTTCTCCTTCCAAGGAAATATGTATGTGTAGTCATTCATATTTCCGGTTTGGCCCCCCCACTTCGAAAATCACATATGAGAGGCAGGTCTCCAAGGTTAACAAGGATAAGGATTTAAGAACTTTATTTATTAACCTATTAACTTTACTTATTGAAGTAAATATTACAAAAAAAGCATACCACCGCAAGGATACCAAGCACGAAAAGAAAAAGCAAACTTATTGATCTTCCTTTCCTTCAGTTTAAGCGCCGTTTTTTTCAACTTATGCATGATTCAGAATCTTCCCAGCGACAAATTCACGGTAATTCGTGGTTAACGTTCATTGAATCTACAAGCTTATCCGTCCATCACTGGGGCAGTGAACACAGATAATCTTTCCTCAAACCTCACACCCTTCCAAAAATTATCTTTTCCCACGCCTCAATCCCCCTTAGGCATTCCTCCGTCACCGTTGAAGCTGGCCTTGCATATTGAACTGTCAAGAAATCAAATTTCATTCTGGGTTCTCTTGCGCCGTTCTAATGTTGAGTAGCAAAACTCGTAGGGAGAAAAGGGAAAACCTGGCACCATTTTTAACTCCTAACTTCAACGAATGGCATCTTTGAACTTGGCTGGTCCCGAAACCATTGTCCAGATTAACAAAGTAGAAGTCACCTTATCAAAGATCGTCTGGCCAGAACAATGGGGTCGAAGTGGATTATAGCAGTTCCACGAGCTGTGGCAACTGTCCCTCCATGAACCACTGCAGGACGCGATGAACCGATGGCCACCAGTCGTTTCTCGTCCAATTCGTTGACAAGGAAGAATCTTAAATGTTCGAATGTTGAAAAAAAGGTCTTGAAATACACATACAAATACTAAGTCAGCTAACACAAATGAAACAGATGAGCCACGCTGGAGGGTTCCTGGACAGCAGGTCACATTTACTTTACTGGTTGCCAGCAAGAAGAAAGTCGTATTTAGGAAGGTTTCAGGTTTTCAGAGGTTTTTTTTTCGAAGGTATTTTGAAAATAAAGGACAGCGGGACAAAAAAGAATGAGAGATGGCGTAAACTTTGCTGCTTTGGCAGCTACGTATACTTCCCTCCCCAACTGCTCCTTAGTATGAAGGTGGTATAAGGTGTCAAAATTTGCTCTTCATGTGGCTAGCTCCGGTACCAGCCCACGACTGCGCCCAAAAACTTTAGCTATCTAGATCCTGGTAAAAATCGAATGAGATTTCTACCATACTACCTATGCTTCATTCTTTCCAGCATGCTTAAGCAATACATTAAGAGTTATGGAAACAGCATTTTGGAGAAAGATGTTTTAGAATTACTGCTACAATATCACTCCCTCACTCACCCACCACTCTTCCTCCCTTGTTCCAAAGAACATATCAAAAGCCAACTCTAAAACAATAAAGCAGCAAACCATTTCAAACTGGTGGTGTAACAGCAAATGATAACAATGTTGAAGGCAACCGCATCCTTCATGAGGCTGCCCTATCTACCTATCGGCTATCTTATCCGCCACATCGCAATCCACGTTGCGTGGGGGGGGGGGCAGCGCGAGGTGTCAGATCTAGAAGCTCCTAAGATGATCTCCAATTTCACTTGGGAAAGCGCTAGCGCCATTGTCGCGCAATTTCGAGACGCACAACGGCACATCGGTGATAAGCGAGGACTACTGTGCCCCACCCACTGGAAAGATTTCTCGACACAGCTTTGCAGGGGTTTTTGTTTTAAGAACTTTGCCAGTTCTCCAGAACGAAGTATGTTAACCTTCGAAAAAGTTATCGACTTACGCTGCCATTTCGGTACTGGGTTTGACCGCGTAGAAATTGCACATACTGTAGTATTCCCGTTTTGCATACTCGGATACCTAGATTGAGAAAAAAATACATAAAAATACTAACAACGGTAAAACAACAATGGTAAAATGTGTGAAGATGTGATTGATGTGGCTGAATGTTTCTGAAATTCTCGGAGCATGAGGAATTTTTAGTACTTATTCTGATGGTAATCTTCACAGTCATCCAACCACGGTAAGATTTCTCATATAGTTTTATATGGATTTTAGGGCACCTACGCTCAAATCTGGATAAAAGGAAGCTTTTTAAATGAACCAATTCGTAAATCTAATTGGTCATTTACGGTTTAGAATCTTCACCAGTACTTTCTCGCTTCAAGTTTTGATCATGTCCCTCCGATCGTGGAAGAAGTCTGAAAAGGAATTGCAAAAGAATCCAATAACTTACATCGAAACACAGCTGCGAGCAACCGTTCACTCTGCTGCGACGCTGCTTTGGTGATGGTTCAATGACTGGACACGATTCGGGGTTGGCATAGTCGAACTGTAAAAGAGATCCCAGAAATTCAAAACAAACAATTGTTGGCGATGTGAGCTGTTAAATTACGCTCATAGAGCTAATTCTTGTCTACTAACCATAAATATCTTCTTCAAAGCCATCATTGCAGCGTCATTCTTGGCAGCTTTTTTCGACTTACCACTACCAATGAATTCTTCCTTGTCATTAATGATAAGTTTGCTTCTGAAAATTAAAACCTTTGATCTAAGCCTGACGAATGGATCACAACAGAAAACACGAAAATGCTCACTTGAAGATAGTTCCCATTTGGTTTACAGATTCATCAGCTCCTAAGTCCTCATACTTGATGTTTGGTGTAACCTTAATTGCACAACACGGTTACCCCACATATAAACATTTGTTGCAATTAATAACATTTGCGGCAAAACTTCATCGCCCAAGATCGACAAAATATCACAAAAAAATAGTACCGATCGATTCTGCTTAGCTAACAGCACATGCAGTTTCTGGCACGGTGGCACAGGTTGCTCAGTTTGCGGTGGCACTTCAGCCGCAATCGACGGAGGATCAATATCGAAGTGAGACCTGCAAGCATGGAGCTTACACGTGACAGAATTTCGCTCAATATCTAGAAGTATAGAAATTCAAGCAGGATCATGTGTTACCGTCGACCGCTACTATCACCAAGTGTCGACGGTGATAATATCAGTAGAGGGTAACACAAGAAAGCTTCAATTAATGTCTCCCCTTACAAATGCAAGCTGTCATCGCTAGTAAACACCTTACCCTAGAGTGCACACTAAAATAAGCGGCAGATGAATGGCAGACTATTATTCTGACACTTGTGATTGTGGGTTATTTACTTGACAAGACCCTCCTCTCCAAAATTCCTATCAAGAATGTTCGGAGCCTATTTACATCCCTACTTCGGTACTTCCCTATCATAAAAATCCTACACGGATCTTCCGCTTTGTTCATGAGCCCCAGCCCTTTCAAAACGACACAACTTTCTCCCAGTTTTCCCAAGTTTCTGCGCTTTTCGTCAGCTCTATTAATTCGGAACTACTCTAAGCCAGAAATGCCAATAAAGATGCATTTAGAGACATATCCAATTTGAAGAAAAATCTTTACTACAACGAACCTGAGCAACTCGTGCGCTACATATTCTTTAGCCTCGTGTTTGGAACGACTTGGCGGCGACGTAAACTCAACTGTCTTATCGTTCACTGTAATTAGACGATGAATAACACGGTTTCCACTAAAGCCTTTAGTATTAGTATCGGTCTAGGCTTTCCTCCGGCACAGGAATCGTTTTTGCGAATTCACGTACCGGAAACTATTCCCCGCAGCTGGGGGACCCGTTGCGACTGCAAAAAATTGAGAGAAGCACGCGGCTACAAAACGCTGTTCAACGATATGGGTCCCCCAGGCAACGACGTCTTTTCCCTCGCTCGTCACTGACCAATTTCTAGGAAAGTGACTGGGGATCCATCAAGTTAGAGTCCAGTTCAGAAACCTCATCTCCCTGTTTCATGAAATTTGAAACCATAGAATCCGATTCAGGGTCAAGCGTTACTAATTAGCACCACCATCCTTGCTGAGAATTTAATCTGTTCACATAAGCCGTACTGGACTCTACAACAGCCCATGTCCATGTGTGACTCTTACAAACACAAAGCAGATCCCATCCTTTTATTCAGTTTTTTGCTTATCACGCTTCGCAGTCGATTTCACAAAGATATGACGCTCTGCTGAAACCATTATCATACCACCATTCCGTTGCGGGCCTGCCTTTTTTGAACAAGACCACCAACTGACCACGAACTGCGCTTTTCAGTAACCTGTTATTTTTACACATTATACCTAGCACCCAAACCGCCACTGAAAAGGTAGAGAAGTAATGCATATGACCATGTTACCACTTTTTTTTCAAATCCTTGTATTTCCTAATTGCTTGACCCTGATCTGACCCAACATTCCCAAGAAATATACAAATGAGAAAACCTTGAGAATCGGACTATTTACGGTGCGAGCTGCGATGGTTTTTTTTCAAAACACGATCCGTCCCCTCCCATAACAGCACCCTCACTCCTTCCACCAGGCGTTTGAGTTCGCACCTGGTGACATATGGAGAGCTTGAACGCCATCATCTCGATATCGCTCTGACGAGTAAGATAGTTAACCATTTGATAGTCAGACCAACCACACAACATCAAAATATGAAGGAACCGCGTTTTCCGGAAAAACCTCTGGCCACTACACCATCGTGTTTGTATACACAAGGGGCATAGCCATTCTGTTGCCGCACATAATATCAAAAAAGGAAAAGTAAAAAATGTGAATGGGTGGCAACAAAATGTCATCTAGGCTACGGATGACCACCTTCCGTCAGTGGAGAAATTCGACTGCGAAAATAAAATTCCAAAAAACAAAAATGTGATAGAAGAGTGCTCATCCATAGGGTCAGACCATCATCTCTGATGATGGCAACGCTCAGAACTCCGATGGACCGTGGAAAATGGGGAATGGCAATTTGATCAGAGTTCTGAGTTATGAGAGAGAGAAAAGAACGTAGGGCAAAAGCAAAATACTGGAATGATCGATGAGTGTGCAGACGGCGACAAAAGATGGCGGTAAGCCAACACACACACACAGTCGGTACTGAATGTCAGCCTTGAATTGCGACACCACACACACACACACATCACATAGATGCGACTGTGATAGAGCGTACACCACGTAACAAATTCATTACAACACCTCAACCCTTTGCGACTGAACTATTCTCTCGGTATTTCAAAAGAAAACGAATTAATTATTACCATAAGCAATGACGGCGAACAATTCTGCGAATATCAGCCTGTGGAACTTGGAAGAGATCCAGCAACGCCTAAAACTCGGGAAATTATGATCTCCCCGAAAAAACCTAATTCCTCGCACTGCCACATCTCTAGTGGACATTTTTCCGAAACCCTCATGGGTGTAGATCTTGCCCTGTTCCGCAAACGTCAGCGTAGCCCTAGAGAAACAAGATAAATAGTCAGACACCGAAGCAATAAGGAGAAGCAAGGCTACCGCTACCTACCTGAACTTCCGCTTCTCTCCAAGAGCAGCATTACTCTCTGTGATGTCGGTGATATCAAAAACGGGATTGAAGGGACCTTCGGAAACACGCTCGGCGCACAGTTTCCGCATGCAGTCAAGCAGAGACAGCGCTGATTCTAACGCATTCAACTAAAAATGGAAATTTAGGGGATTCGCCCTATGGTCCGTAAAATGAATAGCTACAAACCTTGATCTTCTTGGCTGGAGGTGCATCTTCGGTTTCCATCTTGGCTGGGCGTTGAATCGGTGCCGCGGCAATAACTGCTCCTTCTTTGACGGGTAAAGTAACAACTCCGTCTTCAAATGGAGCAATGTTCAAATCTGGTCGAAGGGCTTCGCAAGCCATTTCAGCGGTTTTCTGCAAAAAATGGCGTATGATTTCAGACAAATTATTCGATAAAAGTCTCGCCTAGAGAAGTCTATTTTCCGCATCCGATTCTACAAACATAATAATATTTCCTCTATGTTTCCTAAATAATTTCTACCTTCTCCCTTCTCATCCATAAATTACCCTTTGAACTGAAAGAAACGCAGTACAAAAACCTTTACTGATACTGCTTCATCGCAAAAACGCAAAAATTGCACAGGACAAGTGGATTAGTCCCCTGGAATCGGTTTTAACGGCTGCACAAGCTTATCCGGGCTGCTAATAGACAAAACATTGTGCTCATTTTCTCTGTTCAGACTGCAGAAATCATACAAACATTGCCTTGAATACACACTATCACCACAACCTCCTCTGCGTACTCTTAACTCGATTACTCTCTATCAATTTAAACCCCATTACTATCAAAGCCTGACACTCAAACACACATCTCATCGGAGAGAATTCTCTCTAGTCTAGGCACTGACCACGCACGCAAATTCATATTCGCATTAGTTTCACCGCCTTCCACCACATGCTTTGATAGAAAGCAGCTGATCTCAAAGGTGACAATAGTAAGCTCTACACAGGATAATCCATTTGCTTTGAGCGACTGGCTGAGCCGTGTTATGACTGCTGCTCTTGAGACACTGCTCCATTTTCAGGTGCGACACGGTACACAGTGAGTTACCGATTGCTTACAACTACCCATTAAACTATCATAATTTATGTCATAAGCATAACAGACTGCGGAAGCCAAAAAATCAACAAATGGCGAATTGTAGAAACAGACATCAAGATTACCTCGTATTGAACAATAATCCTTTCCGTGTCTTTTTGGGGAGAATCTCATGCACCTATGACGATGCCTGTAGCGGTAAAGCAGGAATTACAATACCTGCTTCGCAGTTTTCTTAGCTGGAGCTACCATTGAGAACTGTTGTCCGGCAACGGTGAGAAGACAGCGATAAGCCTTTGGATGAGCGGATCCGGCAACCTCCTCCGTTATCTGAAATTTTTAGCTGCACCTGGTCATCCTTCCTTGCCAATGAGTGAAAGATCCATGCAGAGTAACTTATAAGTTGGGTCGAAAAAAAAGACCTAGAAAAAACTCACGCTTCCACTATGTCTTTGTACAACTCGTGCAGAAGCATAGCAGGTGTTTTACCGGTGGGATCCGTCTCCTTTTTTGGTTTCTTTGCAAAGTTTTGAGCGAACTTAATAGAAGTGACTTGCCAAATAAATATTTATTAGAGTAACTATGAGCACCTTGAACATAATTGAAAGGAAAAACAAATTAAAATCATATCCAAAAATATCAAAAATTAGAATATATACCGGTGGCTGGGCCCAGCCTTTTTTCGGGAAGCTTTTTCCTTCGACACCCATAGGTCGCGCACCCGGAGCTACCCACTGCCCATATCCAACGCCCGTGCGGTTTTGTGCCAACTGACCTTTGGGCATCTTAAAAGGCCTTCATTAGAAAATTCACTTTCAAAAAGCTTAGGTACCACAAGACTTTTCTGGCACTGCAATGTTTAATTTGTACAGAATTAACATGTAGTTTCTTACTAATTTCAAAAATTAGATCCCAACAAAAGTAGCAAAGATGGTCAACGATAGGCCAAGATGATGGAATTAGTGCTAAGTAATGGAAAATTCTCGCCTCGAGAATGTTCGCTTATTCCCGCACCTCTGAAAGACATAGATCCGATAATTCGGAACAATCCGACTTGAAGTGTCAGAAACGTTAATCCAGCTGAAGTATCTAGCTGTAGCCGAGGTCTTGAAACAAGAATGAAACCAAATGATTTTCAGGCGACGAGTAGCGCTATAGTAAATGCTATTTTTTGCCACCGTTCATTTATCTAGTCCATAGGGTTGTAGATAACACAGTCAAGCCTATTCCACCCTGCGGCTCTTTCAACTGGCACTCAAATTTGTCTTGAGTACTCAAGAACATAGTGCCCTCTGTGAAGTGCGGGATTTCATACGAAAAATAACGCGTACCGGACTCAGAGCGTCCCTCGGTCATTCATAACGACACTCCGCGTTGGGATTTCGCGTCTTTTATACAGACCGCGTTTTTCGTTTGATATTTATTATGCCATTTCAGGCGTAGAACGCGTCGCATATTATTTGCTTGACAGTCGAGGAATACACGTAAAAAAAACGCTATCTATTGATATTATATAATACAGGCGCAAAATTTGTACTGCACGTGGCGCGACGTCGATCAGTGACCACTTGCCCGACTGTCAAAAATTAAAAAACGCTATTGATTGATCTAGAGTCGTCAGCAGACAGCTAATGCACTGACGTTCCCAAAAATTGATGAACATGTAGCATAATGTTCTGATGCTGCAGACATCGAAACAAATTAAGAGACAAATAACGAACTAAGGTACTCTTTGAAGCATTAGGTAGTTTATTCTTTTTGACTAGTATGAAGAACCTTCAATATTATTTTTCGTTCCCTTTATTCGTGAAATTTCTTGAAACCGTTCAGTTACTTGCTGAACAGAAAATGATTTGAGCATATCTAAAACGCCTCCTTTTCACATTCAGCCAGACCATAAGGTTCGAGCTGAAATATCCTCTCAATCACTCTTAGACGATTTCCTTGCTTTACGCAACAAGTGACAGAGTGTCAGTGGAATGTTGCTGGCGTTTATGAAAAAGTCCCACTTCTGGCTCTCAATGCTTTTCGACTGATGACTAGTGACGCAGAAGCTTTCACTAAACACCTTGCTCATGAATGTCAGTCACTAATCCTCGGACCTTTTCTTCTAAAACGTCAGAGGCGATTGCTCATTGTATTTCCATATTCCTTGCTTTGCGCTTCCTTTTATTACCTACCACACTGTCAATTCAGGATCCCTTACCGAAATAGCTACTACCTTAGCCTAAAAGAGCTTGCCCGAGCTGCCCAGAGAGCGAGCAGTACGAGGTTATATATTTCTAGATAGTAAATACACAAAGACTTCACAAATGTTTGCAGTACCAGATACTCTTGTTGTACACGAAGCTTTTTTGTTATACAACCTAATGTGGGCCGATCACGTGTGATTCGTCCGTTTTTGCTTTGTAAAATAGCTGAAAGTGAACCGCAGACCTTTGTTGCATCCCCGAATGGTTGTCGTTTTGCAGGAAAATTGGGAGTGTTTTGAAAGTTCTGCGGTACAGCAGCAGCAGAAACAGACGAATTACCCCAGCCATAGGGATAAGCTTGAGTCTGAAAATGTAACACGGCGCTACAATTATATATCAACGATTTGAGACTCACCAAGACAACATGATTCGGCTTAATGTGAATAAAATTAAAAATTCGCTTGAGCTCATTCCTAATTAAACCAATAACTGTATTGTTCTTGGAGCTCTAACCATTTTGTACAAGCCAAAAAGTTACCATGACAGTAGTATGTCTTGGAAATTAGGTATCTGTAAACCAGCATTGGACTAGAAGAAATTCCTCTACTCGCTTGGAAAAAAAGAGTAGCTCTTTTCAAATGTTTCCACCAATGTTTTTATTCACTCTTTCCTTTATTTCATATCAAAATCTTCATCCTTCCAAATCGATCAATAGGGTATTTTCAAAGTCCCCTCGCAGTTTTTATGAATAAAACATGGCCATTTTAGGCATACACTCTCTGTTCAATGTTCAGTGTTCCTTTTCGCGGTTTCTCGGATACTACTAATATGCGATGCATGCACAATGTCCACGAGAAAGTTTTAAACCTAGGGCCGGACGCATAGTCGGTCGGACGACAGCAACGACTGCAAGTGTCGCACAGTATTGGGTGCGTATCGATCTGCGGCACTTGCAGTCGTTGCTGTCGTCCGACTGCTGCTGTCGGACGACAGCAACGACTGCAAGATCAATACGCAGCTACTATTCCACACTACAGTGGGACTTTCGAAATACGATCACGCGCAGTCACGTGTTGTCTGGGTTTGCATTGGGTGACCGCGTCGCCTTCCATTTGCGACCGCGGTTTATGCGACACCTGCAGTCGTTGCTGTCGTCCGACAGCAGCAGTCGTTGCTGTCGTCCGACCGACTATGCGTCCGGCCAGGCAAGCGCTTCCCCTTTCATGCTCCGACTCGTCCCCTCGAACATTTTTCCCACAATTTGCTGCTTGTAATAACGTGTACAACGAAAAGTTTGAAAGACATATAATAGCACTCATTCACTGTATTCACGCCGCCTATTCAACGTTCGTACCTGAGCGGGAGCTCGGAAATTGCCATTGCCCATAGGCGCAGCGGCGGTGTAAGCGTAAGGATCCATCTAAACTCTAAGTTATTATCATCACAAAAAATAATCAATACACAATGAAATATTCGTAAGTACGCCTAAAACGAAGACATAGTTAGCAACGAAAGAGAACAGAATCTGAGGGTGAAATAAGAGCACCAATGACTCCGAAAGTTATTGCTAAACTCATAATTCCAGATACTTTCCTCGCTTGAGGAAGGCTTACTGTGTACATTCAATGATGAAGGAACTAACATTGTGAAACATAGCTGACTTATAAATAAGTTATTTACAATTCTCAATATTAACTAACTAACCATGGTCAAGATCAGGCAAAATACTAAGCACCAAAATAAAGTTATCCGCAAATAAAGCTTTTGGGATTTTTCGAAGATTTTTGTAATGGACTTTCTCAACTTCATAGTATTATTGAACACTCAAATCAAAAAGAGGCTATGGTGAAGCTTGATTCAAACATAAGGTAGAGGAAACATTGAAATGACACGGAAAACGAGAAAATATGTTCAAACAGAGTTTCGAAACCACATTTCATATTGAAATGAATCAATTTTTGAGAAACAAACGCTTATGTTGCCAAAGCGACCACACCACAGCAACAATGGATGCAAATGAACGGCAGCAGTTGAACATGAAACGTGGTATCGACGGCCAGAAACAAACGCAACATGTTAGAACGGCGTTGACGCGCGGCGTGCAATCGAACCGACGACAACTGTTCCCGGGCGTCAACGGCATGTCCCCACCGCTATATCGCAGAGCAAATCGGGTGGAGGTCAGGCAAGGGTGCGTTCGACTGCCTGATTAAGCCAGGCACTACACACAATATTGATTTACTCATACACGTCAAAATCAATACAGAATGAATAGAGAGCTTATGGTTAAGTTAAATGGAAGAACTTTGCGCCTTATGGTTAGTATTTAAATGCGTCGTGATAAAACTACGAAACTGTATTTTTCTACACAATGAAATTAATTTACATTTACAGCTACAATTCAGCTGATTATCCATATAGTTAGTTTATTTGTTGAAGAGTTCAACATAGAGAAAGTCAAGATTAGGGGTCTCATCCAATAAGGGGTAGGAGTATGGCTCAAAGAGTTCTTTAATTGCGAATTGGTACTAACTCGTAACGAACTGCGATTGGCCTTTTATATGCTGTACGTTTCTTATGCTGAATGACATAAACGTCCAGGAAAAGCAATATTCATTGAATGAGCAGCAACGTTTACATAGAAAGAATATTTAGAGGTCTTTCCATGAGGGGGATGCGTTTAGAGCGTCTAATTGTGATAAAGCGGAAATTACGATAAGATGGGTCTGTGCAGCATGGCAAGAACCGAAGCGCATTTCAGAGCCCGTAGCTAGAGCCCAAGATCGCAGTGGTGGGGCCTTTTTGTGATAAAGAGGGGTGCGGCTCGTTGCGGCAGCGCTGGGCGGCCGCCGCCGTGCCAGATGCCGTGCTGAGGCGGTGGGCGGGCGCGGGGGTGGATGGACCTCAGCAGATCGCTGTTCGATTATCATTCTGATAAGGTATGCCACTTCGAGCGCGTATCCAATTTTTTTCTCATGGAATGCTATATCAATCAAGGTATGATCTCTGGTGGTATGATGGCAGCTATGGTTTAACGAGTGCCGACGACCTCTTAGTTGGTTGCCAACTCGTCCATTATCGGAGGTCAACGGGCAGAGGAAGTGGTCCCATTTTGCGCGTTTTTGACGGATTTCTTTGCTTTTTTCGCTACTAGGGCATTATTCAGCATCTTCACTTCCACTATGAGCACAACAGAATCCTATCGCAATCTCTCGCTTTAAGGATCAGTTGACAGACAATGGTCAATGTGAGCTTAAGCTAACTACCTTGTAAAGTAGAGAAAACCCAGGTTCCACGAGCGATTCCTTTCGTTTTCTCGGGAAGACTGATCCCTCTCGGCTGTAGTCATAGCTGAAATAGGTAATATTATTTTTCATAGCTTTCATCATAACCAAGAACACCTTACAGTGATTTAAGATGTAGATTTAAAGAACTCAGGATAAATCGTAGGAAATGCTTGATATGAGCTCGTCCTTCGAGCGGTGGGCTCCGAGGCCAAACTGATTGAGATCAGACTGTTGCACTGTACTATCCCCCTCCTTTCACCGGAATGATCCCGAACTGCTTCATGGACCAACGCTTTGAGGCCATAAAAAATAAGGAGCTGACACGATGTTTGTTTTTGATTGCAACACAGTTCAATGCCATGCTTACTGTGACATACATACATACATTAAACCTAGCCCCTTTATCAGGACAATCCCAGTTGGGAAGACGGAGAAAATTTAAAGGGTTTTTCGTCCCCCAACCCCTAGGGGAAGGATTGAATACCGCCCATCCCATCAGCAAGCTTTTCAGAGAGGTCCTACCCAAAACGAAAGTGATCGCAGCTCTGATATGATCTGAAAGAAGAAAGAATAACAAGAAAGCCAAGCTGCTTATCAGCAATTCCATACACGGTGAAAAGTATGAAACAACCCAAAGACGCGATAACCTACTCTTGGGCGAAATATCCTCGAGAATTTTGCAATTTTTTGAACTGTATGTGCTCAACAGTAGTTCTGGAGGAGTTTATGCCATGGCCGACTTCTGGGTTTTCGTTGACGTTGCAGTGCAGAAGGAATTTTTGGGTTCAAATGTACCGTAATGTTGCGTTGTCGGCTGGGACATGTGTTTGCAAGGGGCACAAATTGCTTCTCAATCGGAACGTTTCGGCGGAGAGAAAGTATCGAGAAGCATGTGCATTGTGAACAGAAGCTCCCCGGTAACGGGACTAACATAATATTAAGCGGTAAAGTCTGATCGAGTCTGAATAAAAATGGGATGGAATGGGGAGGGGACGAAAAAGTCCATTGCCATGAGCTTTATGCAACTTTTCGTCGCGCAGGGTGCCGCTATGATGAACTTTTCGCAAAAGTATCCTTTAGAGTCGCTATAGAAGGAGACTCGAGCTGGCACGCGTCTTAAATGGTGTGGTTAAAGTATGTTGCTGTATGTCGATGTTCAGGGGGACGTCATCGTATTGGCTCACTGGAGCTGTGGCATAATTTTCCATCGATTAACTGAAGGTTGACTTACCTTCTAAAGAAATGCGTTGCATATTGCAAAGGGGTGTGGGTACTTAGGACAGAACGCGACTTTTTCGCTCTTCGCAACGCGACATCGCGCGGCAGGCTGGCGCACCCGCAGCGAAAACAACTACGGTATGGAAGAACGCGCGATTGGAGCGCGATATTTGTGTCGGCTTTGATTGCGACAAGGAGTTTGAAGCTTAATAGCCATGGATTTGATAATGAACGAGGAAATGGTAACCAGAAGTGGACCGCTAACTAGCAGTGAAGAGGGAGGTAGGTTATTTTTGCAGAGATGGATGGTAGAGCTTCTGGAGAACCTGGAAGAGGAATGGTTGATGGACGTTTGATGAGACGACTGTAAACTTCTGCATAGGGGTTATTTGGGGCCCTGATCATGAATATGACACTCATTTTTCACATTCGTGCTGTTTAACGCATACTTTCTGCTTTACTAAGCTTTCTCACCTTTACCAGCGCTAGATAGCATGAGGGGAGGGGAGTGAAACTCCGGAGTGGGTAAACCACGCACCGTGTGGCAAAAGTTGGAGTGTGTCACACCACAGGGGAATGGCCTACCCACTTTGGAGCCCTACACTACTCAAAGGCTTAGTCCTACTGCGATCTAATTAGTGCGAGGGCGCAGACGAGCAGGATGCAGGCGCCGAATAGCGCTAAGAACAAATCAGGACCCCGAATAACCCCTATACAAAAGTTTAAAACGAATTTAGTGGGAAACAGTTGTGGCGCCACCTGGCCCCAAATGGCGCCAGCGTCCAAAATGAGTATCATATCCGTAATGAGGACAGAAGCGTTTCGTAAAAGATGTTATACCCTTATGCAGAAGTCTATACAACAATATGAACCCACAAAATGCAAGCACAAGCGGCCCTATTAAACCTTTGTTCACCTATAATTCGTAAAACACATTTTAGTGGTATCGCGGACATTGTAAGTCACAAAACGTTTTCAATAATGGTGACAGAATTAGTGATTCACCGCATTTATCAATACAATGGGTGTGAGCGCGGGCAAGTAAGGAATCAGAAACTTACAAATTCACGCATGCAAAAAAGCTGCTCCAATCGCGCGTTCTTATATACCGTAGTTGTTTTCGCTACGGGTGCGCCAGCCTGCCGCGCGATGTCGCGTTGCGAAGAGCGAAAAAGTCGCGTTCTGTCCTAAGTACCCACACCCGCAACCCGAGTTGCGTTTCTAGTGA